TAGACACTATGTGTGTTTGGCATTTTACACCTAGCTGTTGGGACTTTCATGGTGAGGGTTGGTAGGCGTCCCTCAACATGAATCACTACTGGTTTCCTCGAGGCTGACTTAGTGGTAGTATTCTTCTTACACTGGCTCCTCATATATCCTTGCTCTCCACAGTTCCAACAACCTTTTTGGGTAGCAGCCTTTCCTGCTGTGGCATCTTCCCTGTGTTGAAGTTTCCAGCATTGAGCTTTCTTGTGCCCAGGTTTATTACAGTGCCAGCAAAGTCCCTCAAACCTCTCTGAAAGCTGACCTTTTCTGGCCTTGAATCCTAATGACTGTACCAACCTGGTACCTCTGTGCTGGACTTAACGTAGGATTCAAATTCGAGAGCTCTGACCATTGCATCCTGCATGGTAGAGGGGTGTGCTTGCTTTACTTGTATCTTCAGTTGTGGACTGACCAAGGCATTTACAAACTGATCCCTCAGCAACAACTTGAGGAGATCGGGTGGTGCAGTTAGGTAGGCTTTGTGTGCCATACTTTCCAAATCCTGTGCCAGCTCTTGTAGGCTCTCCCCTTCAGCACGGACTCTCGTCCTAAACCTAGTCCTGTAGACTTCAGACTGATTTTGGGTTCCGTACCTGAGTTCTAGAGCCGCTACCAGTGCTCTATAATTGTGCCTGTCGTCTGCTGACAACTGTCCAAGTATTTCCAGCGGTTGTCCCTTCAAGCTCGTTGCCACATATAGTGCTTTTTGCTCCTCTGTCCATCCATTCATTTTTGTCAGGAGCTCAAATTGTGCTCTATATGCTTCCCATGGTGCCTTCCCATCGAATTCCTGTTGCTTCCTTCGTACTATATCACCCCTTTTGCTGACACTCATGTCTGGAATGTGACTTCTGGCAGGACTGAAGATGTCTGCATTAGGGTTTAGCTGCGGGGTCTGGAAGGGGCTTCCTGTTGTCTGGGGCTGATTAGGTCCATGGATAATATATCCTCCTTATGTAAAAGACAGTAAATCGTCCTTTAATGTATTTAATTCATTTTGAAATTTACTCATCTTTTCCATTTGTGTATGATGGCTTTCTCTCAACTGTTGGAGACTTTCTTCTTGTTTATTTTCTTTCTCCTCCAACCACTGCTGTAGTCTCTGTCTTGTTTCTTTTATCGTTCTTCTTGTTTCTTTTATTTTTTCTCCAACAACTGCTGTAATCTCTCTTGTTTATTTTGCTTTTCGAGCTGCCAATGTTGCAGGTTTTCTTGCCATTGCTGTTTTCTCTCTTGTTGTTTCTTTCTCGTTCTTCTTGTTTCTTTTGCTAAGCTGTAGTTTGAGTTGCAACCTCTCGTTTCCATCTTCTGTCTTTTCGTTTTCTTTTTTTTCTTTTTTTATTTTCCGTCCCACTCTCTGACACCAATT